ACGCGCTAATGCTCCACCAAATCATCTCCTGGTTGGGTGTGGCAACAGCCACTCGGAAATCATTTTACACTGACAATGACACCCCATGACTCATGACTTCAGTAAGTTTGACTCCTTGGAAAAGCTTGGTCAAGAATGGTCAGGAAGGAGTATGGGCCAGTATGATAACTGAAGAGCAAAGCATTAATCATGAACCCCCACCCCACCACTTGTTATAACTGATCCCCGACCCGATTTGGGGCGGCCGCATCGCTGCGCAAGGATGATCACTACCTGGGCCATGAGCAGGCGGGTGGATGAAAAGGACCATGTATTGACTAGCTGGGCCCTATACTGCCTATAGTGTACGCAAGTATACTACTGAGTTAAAGATCCATCAGCCAGACACATGGTCGTGCGCAGTCCCAGTGACGGCACTCAACCCTTCCACATGGTCGCGCGTTTGTTTCGAAACCCTCGGGAGGACCACTGTTCTCAGAGTGTTCGGTCATCAAACTGGTTGAGTTTTCGGATGGTTTGGGCGTGTTTTGCAGATGCTTGCCAGGTGCTTGTGCAATGGTATGATGTACTAGCTGTTTTGGTCATAAATAAGCACAGGAAGAATTGCTGACATTTATGCAAGTGGATTGGGCTTGCCTACCAAGAATTAACTGAGGACATGGCTGGCAACAGACAACAGAGAGATTAGGCCTATGCAAGAGTCCAACGCACTGATTAAAATAGACTAAAATAATTAGTTTACAGCCCTTTGTGAAGAGTAAAGTAGTTGTCACCTGTCCATTCAGGGCGAGATGGGATATCATCCACCTCTTTGGCCCAGTAACCCCAAGGTCTAGCTTGCAGAACTGCTAGCACACTTATTGTTACAAAACTATGTGACATCATTATTGATTATGCATGTGTTTATTTGTCTAACTAACCGCATAGGGTTCAAGAGTGCCGCATGAGGGCGGAGCAGCTTAGAACCCCAGTCGCAAAGGCGGCGCTTCGTTTCCTGTGCGCCCGTGTTCCTGTAGCAGATGGACTGGGCCAGAACCTTCACGGGAGGTTCTTGAACATGCGCTGAACCTAAGGTTTTGACACTGTTTGGAATCTTGACAGTGAGGCAGTACATGGTAATGTGTGCACAAAGGTTATTTGCATCAGGTGGCATCCTTGCAGATTTTTCTCTTTGGTATTGGCTATTGATGCAGCTGCTTTACCAGCTAGGTTTGATTTTTCCTTGACTGGTGGCAGAATGTGGTGAGCTCACATACAGATCCTTTGCCTGGTGCTGGTGAACTTTGTGTTCGAGAAGCGCTTGATTGATGATTTGGCAGAGTGAGCTGAGCCGAGTCCATGGGCGATGTAGTGTTTGACTTGTGCTTCTCACACTGCATGGGGGTTTTTGATGTTTCTAGTTGTACGCTTTTGGATGGCCCCACAGTCCCCTGGAAAATATCCAAGTGTGTATGAGAACCTCGCCTTGAAAATTAATCAGTATGTGAGCTTGTCATTGCCGCTCGTCTTCTCACGACTGTGGCACATGTTTTTACTCCGGTGCTTTCAATGTTTTGGTGCATTGTCCTTGTACGCTGAATGCATGGAGTGAAAGAGGCCTGCTGTACCCTGGAATTGGAGTGGCTGCTTTTGGGAAACTCTTGACTCGCTTTGCAGCACAGTGAATCCTTGTGCGTGCTCATGACCGCTGAATGTTAATGGCCAGAGTGGTGCTCTTGTTGCACTTGTTCTTGCGTTTGGGTTACCTGCCAGCCCAGGGACAAGCTAGCCCAATTTACTACTTCAGGAGATGTGTCGTATGCTGCGCTCTCCACTTTTTCAACCTAACGGAAAGGAATGCGCTCATTTTTGGATGGTGAGGATTTTGGTAGGCCTAATTAGGTGCATGTTCGGCCACGGGCGACGGCCTTCGGCAACAGCAAGACAAAAACAATCGTATACATCATGTAACTGATTCCGTGTTTGTGCTGGAACCTTTGCTGAAGAGTCGAACGGCGGGCCTTTCCCGTTACTATTTGGGGCTTCTCTCGTACATGGCAATGTTCACCAGTTTTTGAAACCCACACCTATATAACAAAGTCTTGGCACTGAAAGTGTCGAGGAAAATGGTCGGACGGAGTGTTGCTGGGTGTAGCTAGCTGTTGGGAGTTGGGGCACGACATTGGATGGGCAGCTACCCGGGGCATATCCCTGCTTTAGCATGAGCACCCGTCAGCTTGTACCCCGGAACATTCATGTTTTTCGCCTTTGAGGCCTGAAAGCAGGCCTCCGAAGATTTACCTTTCGAGGGTTCGCAGTGAAGTTGTTATGGCATGTTATGACACCAATCCTGGCACCTGCAATTGATGGTGCCCCTCAATACTCCAGCTCAGCAAAGTTCGCCATTCTCTAGGAGGAGGGTAGCTCACTGCTGCCGGAAGAGGACAGCTTTGCAGGGCGAAACCTCGGAGGAAACATGAGGAAACGCTTGGTTCGAACGCGCGGGGCCGAGAGCATGCATGTGTTCCGCGCGCCGCAAGCGGAGCGAGGAGGCCTGGTATGACAAAGTGAGCCGAAGCGAAGCCAAGCTGTTGCATTTGGCGCGTGCCTTCATTGCCAGCCCTGAGGCCACTTTTGTGAGGAGCACGTGGAAATGGGCACCATGTTCCAAAGCACCCCGCACATGCGTGCGACCATGGGTGTTTGGTGAAATGTTCCAATGTCAAGTCCCTGCCTGTCCGACTGTCTCTGTTTTTGTTTTGTGGCTTGTTTCCCGGGCCTTCAGGTGCCGTAACTCGGCGTCGAACGATGTCGAACGGTCAGGTCCTGGTGCTACACAGCCCGCTGAACGACTTGGACGACAATTTGGCGCAGGAAAGGGGCCGACCACTGGGAGACCCTCCACGAAGTGGATCAACAAACCTGGAGAATCAGAAGCGGCTTATGATCTACTCGACCCCAATTCGTAAATTTATTTGGGGTAGGGGGAATGAACCCCACCTAAGGTAGGAGGTGTGACTTGTGGATGACTTATGGCATTCTTTGTTTTGTGTATAGCGTATAAATATGATGAAGTATCCTGAATTGTCACTGTCACCGTCACTGGTATCATAGCACTGATTGAGGGAACTTCACAGCGTCGCCAACGAAAGCGGCACAGCTCCTCCATCCTTCAGCTCCATCCTTCCGTGGAACCCACATCCTTCCATCGAACTGTGCAGGATGTGGTGCAATTGCTCCGAGACTTTGTGGATGAGAGAGGTCTCGAGCTGGATCCGTCGACCAAACACCGTCGACGAAAGAGAACGGTGTGCCTTGGACGGCGAGACCGAGACCGCCAGCGACTAGCGACGAACGCGGGATAGACCTCCAAAGCGACTAGCAGCCCCTCTAAATCCAGGTACCTGAACCTGATACAAACCTTGTGACCCATCAAGGTGTAATGTTCAACCTGGATTGTTAAAAGGGGGAATTGTTGAATGGAGTGTAATAGTAAGCGTATCCAAAGTAGAGTTGCCTCCAAATGCGGCTGCTCATTTCAATGGCAGTTTTTTTTGTTTCCATCGTTGCTTTTTGCCTCTTGGTGTGTACTGCTTCCTTCTTGGACATATTTAAATTCTTGGCTGAAATGATTGGATTTGTATGAACTTAAATCACATGGGTTTGGATGTGGTTTCAAGTTGTTTTCCACCAAAAGAGCACCTTCCACTGAGGCTCCTGCTGATTTCGTGCTGGATTTAGATGGATTTCCTTTTGGTCAACATTGGAGGAATGCAAAACCCCACTGACCAGACGCTTTTCTTATTGACTCCCCTTATTCTTTGTTGTAGGGCCCCTTTTACCTATCAAGCCATATCAAGACCAAGATTACATAGGCGCCCGGTTCTGGCAAGCAAGAGCTAGAGTTCCCTTGATGGTTTGTTACAACTTGATGCCGGCGGGTCCTGTATGGCTGGTAACACTCATGACGGCTGCCCAAGAACCATCTCCAATCCCTTCAGTTAGTGAGTTAGTTCCAACATGTTCCTACTCTTCTTTACAACGCTCTGCTTGAAAATAGGCTGGATAGGAAGAAGCCAACTGGGATTTTCTCGTCCATCCTCCATCACCCCAATGGGGTGGGACCCTCGATCCCATGACTGACGATGGGATGGGACCGCGACGATGCGAACGCCGCTTTGGCGGGACCTTTGGAGTCTCAGGTTCTTCAGTGCCAACGATGTCTTTGGAGAGTTGCTCAGACTTTCAGCCACACTGACAGTGCACACACAGAGGGAAGACTGTACGTGCTTTTTTCGATGATTGGAGTTGGAAGGTTGTGAGGGATGGTTTGCTGGAGGGTTCTCAAATGTTGTATATGCACTTTACTGCTTGGCTTTTGCTGCGAGACGGTGCGCTTTCCACAGGCATGTCACACCACCGTCTCGGCCCGAGTGTCGCGCTACGACCACCCGGTCAAGGTTCAAGGAGACGGCAGACTTCACGTGCTCGTTAGGCGGAGTCTGAGAGTAAGGGGAAACCAGACGGTTTTGGGGAGGGCCAAGAGACTCCTGGAGGAGAGCTTTGGAAGGGTTTTCGATGTAGCGGTTGAGTGTCCAGCATGCGGATTAGGCATGTTCTATAAAACATGCACAGACATGTCCATGCTGGCAGGCGATGAATCTGAGATAAAGTTCGAAGCGCGGGACAAGAGCAAGAGCTCCTTGGCACTCGATCGTCGCGCCGATGGCATTGCAGTCCCAAATGAGACTTTGGACCCGTATAGGGTCCGGATCAGAAAATGAGGCAGATGGGAGGAATCGGCCCCAGGAACAAGAGGAAAGTCACCACAGTCATGAAACATCCAAACGTACCTGTTGAATTCTCGGTCTGAAAGCGCAACGGCAGATTGGAGCATCCGACAGGCCATTTATGATGCCGGATGTGACAGGCGGCTCTTTAGGGAAAGAGTGTGGGTGTGACAGCTGTTCACTTGAAACCAGCACTAGCTAGCTGTACTAGCTGTTGCCAATTCGTGGCATATTTTGGTATAGTGAACGCGCGCACGTGTGGAAGGACGACGGGATCAGACCGGTGATATCACGGTTTCCTTCGAGCGTGGACCTTCCCCCCCGGGTTCCCCCCGGTGGGGGTCCACGCTCGACAGCTGCGGCTTCAGCCGGTCGAAAGCACCGCATCCGGCGCTGAGGTCAGGGATGGTGGGGCTGTGCTGCCTGAGATCACTGCGCCCGCTGAGCAGTCTTCGTTGCAGTCTTCGTTGCGTGAAGAAACAGATGAGCGAAAAAAAACAGTCCGTTTCGTTCAAACGAAGACTCAAGGTGTATATGCCAAACGATCTGGTGCGACCATGAGCCACGCATAGAATCAAGGCCGGCAGAGTTGAAGACCAACTCGGGAAGCTTGATTGGCCAAAGACGCCTTTCTGTTGGGCCCTCAGGGCCCAAAAGACGCACCCGTTTTCTGCCAAAGTGTCGGACACAAATCTGTAACTACTGTCCTCCGTTTTCTGCGGAGATATCAAACAGGGGACCCACCTGCATGGTTGACCACAGAAAATGAACAGACTATAAGGATCGAGGTCAACCTATCAGGGTTTAAGGCTTCGGGTTTTGACATGTTTTGAGCCACGGCCATATCTCCTAAGAAGATTCTTGGACCGAATGCTTTGGGACGGAACCTGCGTTCTCGAAGTGTACGCCCGAAGTGTTAGGACTTTTACCTGTTCGTGCTCCGTGCAGGTCTTCCTCCGGGTGTTCTCTTGTGGCTGGGTGCTTTTCAAAGCATTCCACATGAAGCGAGCGACACAACGAGTTCTGCTTGAGGAGAGTCATGGCATCTCCGCAGGCATCCGACGGCCCAAGGTGTTCTCATCGGCGGCGCGAGCAAGGCGAAGAAGTGTTTCGAGTCAGAGGCCTGCAAAAACGAAAGTCTGACGGCACGAAGGACGTCGGGGAGAGGCTTTGAAGATGTTGGAAGGAAAGAGTTGGAGCGAATTGATGCTGCAAGGCAGCGCAGAGGTGCAAAGCACCCAAGCACCCTGATGCAGGAAGTTATTTGGTCCGTGTCAGGCATTTATGAATTTGACATGGGGAGTGGTGTAGCTGCTGATGATGATGATGATGATGATGATGATGATGATGATGATGATGGTATGTTGCATGCGTTTTCAAAATCAGTCATAGACAAACTTGAATGTGGGTTTGCAAGTATTGTGTGTCACGTCATTGGGACACATGTTCCTCCTGACCCTAAACATTGGGGTGCCAGCTTTGGTGTTTTCTGTTCAAACAGCTGTTCTTCCTCCGCCTCCGCCTCCGCCGCCTCCTCGTCCTCCTCCTTCCTCCTTCCTCCTTGCTTCCTTCCTCGCCAATCTGCTTCGCCGATCTTGTCTGGCCAGCTCCGGATCGCAGTGTGCACCCCTGGACCTCAACCGCAAGGATCCCCTCGCAGTGTGCACCCCTGGACCTCAACCGCAAGGATCCGATCACAGTGTGCATCCCTGGACCTCAACCGCAAGGATCCGATCGCAGTGTGCACCCCTGGACCTCAACCGCAAGGATCCGATCGCAGTGTGCACCGCTGGACC